TGCACACAGCGAAAAGTTCATTGTATAGTTCTTCGGAACTTTATAGCGAGACGCACTGTCAGAAAGAGCAACAAAGACAGCTAGACGTCGTTTAATTGTCGAAGTGTATACAGGGTTCTATTCGACAACAATTAAAAAATCAGGAACTCAGAATCACCTAAACATTGTCGTTAGGCGGCTATAGAGTGGGGAGATATTTCAAGCAGCGCGAAATACGTGAATAGGAAAGCAACTGTGGGGGGAGGGGGGCGCAGGTGAGAATCAAGTTGACTATTCACAAAAAGATGCCATCAACACTCTGTTCACAAAAATCAAACACCGACAATTCATGAAGATACTCACAGATTAGAATCCCTCTGATTCACTCAGACTAAATCACACTGTTGATTTCTGAAAGTGATACAATCAATGACACACAAGTGTGTGTTTCATCAGGAACCAGTGTGATAACTGAATATTGATTATATAGAATAGTGTGCAAACTCATGATTGTTTCCAGAAAGAAGAATGTTTTGTCTTACTCACGCACACCACATAATGATATAGAATGCTTATTACAAGTGTGCCAGTTGAATAGTGCTTAGTAAATATTATGAACAACTCACAAATTAGAAAGGCTATGCTGACGCGTAATTGTTTACAGAATGAAGAAATATTTGTGTTATTTGAGGTCAACATCACGCGTTGTGTTTCTCATGGATACCTGCCACTTTCTCTTATAATTGTACTTTAGAAATAATCTAATACTACTACTACTAATAATAATAATAATAAAAATAATTTCCTTTATTCCATAACAGTACTTGTGATACAGAATGGAATTCTCAACATTTTACTACAGTATCGCATCCAATTAGTACATTATCAATAAATAAAATTCTAAATAGATTGAGTTAATCTCAGTTCATAATGACAACAACATATTGGAATATCGGTAGCAAAGTCTAAATTGAACAGTGTTTGAATGTGTTAGATAAGTAGATGGTAGCATATTTACTGGGGTAGGCGGTAACTAAAGGTCGAGATATACAGAGTGTGAGAGAATGAAGAAGAATGTTTTAAGTAGAGTTTGTAAGGAAGAAAGAAACAAAGCAGCATATAATTATAGCAGTGATGAGAATACCAGCTCTATTGCCAACAGCGATTCTGTTAGAATTATCCAATTTCATCATGATCAGCTCATTGAAACCAAGAGAGGGCGACAAGACTTCAGATAGTGTGTTGAATTGGTAATATCAGTGGAAATTGTGGAGTAAAGTGGTTAGGTCACCTTCCTATCCACTCATACTGATACATATCACTTCAGTATGACTAAATACTTCTTCACATCAGACCTGACACGATATTCACAACAGAACTGAAGTCACTTCAGGCTAAATTATCTTGTATACACAACGACTCCTCACGTTTCCTCGTCTTATCTTCCAAGTTTTCCCATTGAATATTCGTATGTGGATAATCACACAAGCGATGACATGATGTGAGATGCATTACACATCGTGTCAAACTGGTTGATGGCTTCATCGGTGAATTCGTTATATACACATTCTGATAATGTAGTGTTCAGGTGGAGACAGAAGAAACACTGGTGTCAGGGATGCGTAATGTTTCCAATTCCATTCCTGGAATATCTGCCTACGATAGTCATTTGAAAGCTGCTGAAATAGTTAGTCATTCAACACTCAGCTGAGTTTGAGAAGCAACTGATTCATATGCGACAGACGTTACAGTCAAAATCCATTTTATATGTGTGAGAAGTATTTCAATTGATATACCCATTGAGACCTGCAAGTAACCATTTCTTTCAAACTCTATTTCCGTATTTCCTGCACCTACTATTCAGAAAATAATTCACAGATAGTGTGATTTATCAAATCAGTGTTTATTGACCTTTACATTTCGGCTCAGAAGCCTTCGATTTCTCAACAATTGGAATCTGAATATTCTCGAACATCTACCTTGTTGCCATAACTATACTCAATTCAATATTTCAACTAATTTTGCTGTTGTCATCCACTTTTCGCCTAGACTGAATCTCATAGTGGTGACATTTGCATATCACACGTTCACTTCACGCTTATTATTTGTCTTTTATCCCTGTAAGATCTCTAATGGCGATGCTTCCATTTGTGGCTGTACGACACATGGAAATTGTGTTTCATAATGTGGTTCAGTCTGAGCTATTCGAGGTGATTCTTATCTTGAAGTGTCTTCGGGAATTGTCGGAGTGTGATTCTGAAGAACAGAGTTCTGATGACACCTTGTTGTGAATATTCGAATTGATTCTCAACTACCCCTCCCCATAGTTCATTTTCGGCTCACTAATTTCACTTGTTTTCTACTTGAAGTATGTCTTCACTCTATAGCTGCCTAACGACAATGTTTAGGCGAATATGATTTCCGGTTATATTAATTGTTGTCGAACAGAACCACGTGTGCTTCACGGGAAATAATCGACTTCTAGCTGTCTTTGTGGCGTTTTACTGACTGTGTGTCTCTCGATGACGTTTTGAAGAGCTATACAATAGGATTCAATCAATGGTTCCTTGAGTTCACACCACAACGATTCTGCATTGTTCGTTACATACACATTGAGGCACTCGTATGCACCAGGTATTTCAACATACCTGGGTGTCATCCATCGCGTTCTTATTCACATGTATCAGTGTCAGTGTTGGGCTGGATGACTGTCATAAACATGTTAGTTACTGGAATTAGTGAATAACATGTGGTCGCTTATTCGATTTCACGTGGTGTGGAAACCTGTAATTCGCGCTTATGGTGCACTTGGTCCATGTTATCCGTGATCACGTCCTCGAAAAAAGAAGAGATTGACTCAATTGTAATCGAAATGAGGTCAGTGACGCGTATATGTCAACACACCATTGTTTGTCGACAAAACAGTAGATCTGATTGCACCGGCCACATGGCTCATATGTGTGTGTGTGTGTGCGTGACTAAAACACACACGCTCAGAAGCATCTGACGCCCAGTCTCTTCTGAAGAGACTCAATCACCTAACACCCACCTGATGACCAATCTCACATTTCCACATTCCTGACAACGACAAGGACAACCCACCGGAATTCAAATATTAACCACAGCCGATCACAACCACCAGTTGAATGAAGTTTGAATTCATGGAGAGAAAGCGGTGTAGCAGAAATAAAGAGATTTATTTAATTTAATTCAAAATAACATATTTATGAAAGTGTCTACAAGGTGCCTTCATTCAGTGTCTCGCTCACTGTCTTTCACATTCATCCTGGTACTTCTCCTCAATTTCCTGTATGAAAATAAAATCAGTAGGCAATATTATTGGATGAGTTATTATTGTTGTTGGTGAAATAATCCAGGAAGACTAATAGTGAAGAGGAAGGAGGATAACTGTTGGTAAACCGTGTCCTTATTTGGAGAAACTCAGGATTCTGAAAATTACCAGTGAGTGATGATTTCCATATGCATCATTTTTCGGAGTATATGAGTTGACACATGCATACATAGCCTTAGGGACATTTTTGAAAATCGCGTGTGTGTATTCTTATTTATTCACCATACTATCCATCTATTTAGATCCGCCACGATATTATTCATTGGGGAATGTCTCACGGTAACCTACAACGATACTTATGATGCTTTCATCATTCGATTAAACAGGAGTATTTTCGAGGCTGTCATTTGAAACACACATTCATTAAATAGTATTTCAGCCGAAAGATGGTTCGAATAGTAGACGGTGAAAATGTTGCCGTTGTGTTTCATTGGCTATCTGCATCCCGAATTGTACTTTGCTCACTCATCGTTCTCCACATAGCGCAATATTTTACCCGTTTCATATTCGACTCACTGCCCGACTACGAACTCTCGTTAGCTGAAATGTGGAAATATGATGCAAAATAAACCTCACCTCTCAACTGTTCCAATAATCTTGCGTATATTTTCGCGACAACTAGAAATGATAAAACAGGTTCAGAAGTATTTAAATTCGACCAGTGAAAGATTTTATTGTCTATCAATTCGTTTGTTGAACAACTAACATAAGAAAGGCACTGACTAGTCTATTCGCTCAACCTAATCACAACCTTTACACTGTTTTTACACAAAAATATTCAATTGTGAAATTTTTATCATAGAGAGAAAATGAACTCACAAATTCCAATGGCAATTTTATGCTTGAAGTTGAACATTAATTGGATAGTCCTATCCAGTATATTCACATCTGAAATGATTCATGAACGAATGAATGTCTTGCAGAGTGAATTAATCACAATCATACTACGACGTAAAAATACTCAAAATTATGCGATATGAAATGGTGTCAAACAATCTGTTTTGCACACAGATTCGAATAATTGACTACTCTACAAATTCATCTACTTGTACTATATTAAGAATAAACAATCTTCCAAATGTAGTCATGATGTCGTTAGTATATTGGTACTCATTCAGTGTCACGTTCAACAAATTGTCTTTCAGTGTGTGTCTGTGTGTGTTTCTACTTAAAATCCCATTATCTAAAGAAAGATTGTATTTTTGTAGACGAGTGAAGACGACATCCTGAACACTGAAATTGTTCATCCTGCTTCACACATTATTTCATGACTCTTGGAGAATCCTCATCTCATTGACTATCGTACAATAAGTGGTGGATGTTCATGAATTGAAATCATGATGAAGGTATTGTGTGACATGTGGGCATATACCCTCATCGTAGGTGTGTATGAAAATGTTCATTGTTCATTTCATTAACAATTTGAAAAAGAAAAGAGCAAACTAATACCTGAGTGAAGTCTTTCAGGCACATGTTTTAAACATTTGTCTACAGGGAACTCCTCCTTCTTTTCTGTTCAATGGCGAGTAAGAATAAAATAACACAGGTGGATTATAATTTCAAATTTACAATAGAGAGATGTTTGGTAACTGGCATTTCAAAGCTCGTTACTCCACATAGACGAAACAATACAGACTGGGGTTAGAGTAATAAAATGCCACTTACTTTTCTACGCTAAGGCTTTTTTTCGGCTACATTCCACCATTTTATTGATTTTGTAGTTTTCAACTGTAAATAAATAAGGTGTCACACATATCAACCTGTTTCTATTGTTCTCAGTTTAAAACTAATTTATGCATGTTATAGATAAATAAAATCGATTCTCAGACGAGTAAAACAAGTTAACTAGTTGACGGATTATCAGAGAATATCCGAAATGATAAATAAATCAGTCGAACAACTCTCCTCGGGCACCTCTTCATGTCACGTGCATGAGGAAATTCTACAACACTTTTTTTTCACATATGCCATCAAAGTGAATGAAAGACAAAACAATGATTGAGGTGGTAACACTTGAATATAAGCCGGGGTGAATTTTGTTAGCCAGAATATTGGCGAGGAATAATTATGATGGTATGTAAGTACAAAAATGATTCAAAATATTTGGCTTACATTGGTGGAGAATCTTTTCAATCTCTGGATAAGGCAGAAACACTTCTGTATATATATTCAGAATCTCAGATCAATTTTTAGTTAACAAACTATCAGTCATTCATCACGCCACAGTCGAATAAACCTTCATCATCATTATTATTCAAGTGATCAGTGAGAAGTCATACAATCAACAGGAAGTGTATCACGAAAATGACTTCAGATTTATTTGTCAGATAAAGACTCTGTTGAGTCAACAAATTTCGTGGATAAAATTATATTTTGAATGAAAAGAATTTCGTAGAACGCACTGTTATACGCTTCCTCTCCCCAATAATATTGGTATGCAGTTTTCAAGCAGTCCATATCTAAAATAGATTGACAATCACTTCAATAAACTCGACTTGTTTACAGTTTTTTATTTCTTCTTGTGACCTTCCATGTTTACTGAGAATGGTTTCTGTGAAAAAAAACAAAAAAGCCAAGGTGTTGAATGTTTACAACATCATGTGGAGACGTGTGCATTGGTGATGTCACTACATGCTACATACTGGATGACATGATGATGATTGTGTTGATGTCGTCGTTATATTAATAATTTTGAAAGCATAATTCAAGGGATATTTTCCTCCTCAGGATAAGGACATATTGTCAAAGTATAAGACATCGTGTTTTGCTCACTTAATTCTTGCTTTTCAACATATTCCGCTTCTTTTAGTTTCGCGAATTCGATGCGTGCAAATCCTGTGGAGAAACGAGGATATTTTGTACAAATTTTCAAACAGGAGGTGAGATCATATATAATACAAGTTAATAACGCACATTGGAAATACTTTCATCAAAAAAACGTCAGAAGGAATTCCAAACATTCTCCACACAGTCCACAGTGATATTATATCAGTTTCCGAGTGTTTTAGGAAAACAATGTCGACCAAAATCATTGAAATTGTATGAGTTTGTTTATTTTTTAAGTGTTGTCATGATAAATTCTCAAGTCGAATGATAAACTCAAATAGCACGCATTGAAAACCTACTTACCTTTGCTATTTCCTTCTGCAACTTCCAGTTGTAATTCATCCCACTGTGCTCCTTGAAGTCAAAAGAAGAAACGTGAATGACAGTCATTATTCAGAGGAGAAGTTTCAGAATACTGAAGATTGTGAGAACAGTTTCTCTATTTGAAATGTATCAAACTCCTCTTGAGCACTTTATGTAAGCCATTGCAATGCAGATACACATCATTTCAAAATGTGTATTCAAGCTATTTTAATGTAAGGAAAGTTTTGACTGAATGATCATTCAAATGAGAAAACGTGTCACTGTGCCACTCTTAATACACACAGTTTCTGAATCAGAATTAAGGTGAAAGACGACTCCACGAGTACACTGATGGTCTTCATCTTCCGAGTAAGATGAATGTGATATGAAAGCATATGCAAAAGAAGTGATAACTCTGGGGTAAAAGCTCAGATAGAATGTCCCACGAGATTAATTAGCTAAGTATTCAACACTGCTATTGAATAAGACAAAGATATCGTATGGAAATAAGCCACAATTACATCATCTTTTGAAAACAAATGCTTACGTGCGTTTATGGCTAAAAATGCCAGCAGAATGACGAAGACTAAGTGGCTGTGTGTAAAGCTGACCATTTTCTTATATGAACTGATTTTCCGTTCCCTTATTTATACCGCAACTGGTCGTCATAGTTATTCTTGTAATTGGTTGATTAAAATAATCACGATGTCGTCGTTCATTGGTGGATAACTATAAGTGTTGTGATTGGTGAGTAAACACCGTCGTCATGATGTTGTGTGACTCATATACTGAATCTGATAGGTGTGATGTAATCCATCGATCTGCGCAGAAACATTAATCCAATTAGTAATAATAAATTATGTGATGGAGTCCATATGAAGAAGGCACACTCGTTACACATAGTGGAATATCAAATTCTGCGTGTCATCCGACTTTTGCGACGATTTGAATTAGCCTTACTAATCCACATCTGAAGGCAGTGAGATTAAACAAGTAAATGACCTGACTTTGCATGCAGAATGCACAGATACATAAGTTTCATGGCTGAGTCATATCCATTGTTGTGAAGGAAACGTGAATACTACAAAAATGTATAGAAAAACAAACAAACAGAGTAAACCGCATAGAATAAGTCCTGCTCACAAATGTCATGTGATGAAGTATGGTGGCGGTTATATGGTGACAAATAATCAAATTATTGCACACGAAATGTGAAAAGTAGTAATAGTAATACTGATGATGATCAGAATACGCCTTTGGAATGCTGTGAAGTTGACTGCGTGAGGAAGAGTTGGAAAAGAGGTGAATATCCATATGAGATGACGGTGTGTTATTCTCTTGTAAGCGTATTGGATGAATGTAGTGATTTTGAGCACATTCTGACTTTGCGTTCCTTTCATGCATATATTTCCTTATACAATTTCTAGAAGTACTATTTTCTAATTGGTTGGATTTTTGCGACCGAATGAGGAGTATTCCACCGCAAAACTATCCATTTTGCCGAAACGTCTCATTGTCAACAATAAATAGAATCTCCACCACACGTTTCTGTGAGAGTAACATTGTCAAACAATGACAATGGATCTAAATATAACAGTTGTAAAGTTCCTATCTTCAATGTTGTCCTCAAAGGTACACACATCTTTTACACCATTTCCGACTACCTCTTGATATACAGCATTCAGGAAAATCATTGGCCATTCAACGCATAAATAATACAGTTAATGAGAAGTTGATAAACCTAAACGTAGAAGAACTGTCTACTCATAGATACTCATTAGCCCATTAGGCCTTCAAGGATGAATTATAGACAGAATGATTGGATCAGAAGTACATGAGTTAGGCATATTTTACACCTTCAGTGACTTCAACGATATAACAATCTGGCACTCTGTACCCCTAGTATAATCATTATTTACTGAGAAAAGCTGTTCGAAGGTGGAAACAGTGGACTAGTGAGGCGTTCGCTTGAAATATTCCATGGATTCAACACCTTCTCGTGCCCTTCCAACACCCATTTAGTTACCTCAAGGATATTTCGTCGAACCAGCTACGTAAAGAAGGCAAGACGATCTCCTTTCACAGTCCGTTAATCCATATGAGTCCTTGTAAACCCCACTTAAACCTTACTGGTGTGCCAATGAAGGCTCTAGTGGGTAATAGTGAGCATTTAGAGCTGTCTGTAGGACATATGGATTTTCGCCAAGTCAACTCAGTAATATTATTGTGAACAGACACCTAAACTCAATAAGAACAATTGGACAATGCCCTCGTTTCAGCATGAGAGCACCCTCTTCATACGTAAGCCTCCACACACTTCTCAAACAGAGAATCAGAGGTGATCGGAAACCATTTTATCCTCTAACAACATGATATATAGGCACTTCACGAAAGCTTATTTATCACGCCTTCGATGTGTGATCAGAGAAGTGTTATTTGAAAATTTGTTTTGCTGAAATCTATTCTTCAAAATATGCTGCATAGTTCTCTGAGTACAAATCAATCGGCTCTACATCCCCATACCCGTAAGAATCAAGGAGCATTTAGGCATAGTCAATGAATCCAAACCATCGTTGACTTTCTTTTCAAAGGTATTCATTCGTGAATTCATGAAAACGCAAACATGACGAATTATGAGGACCAAGATAGGCATAGACAAGAAGACAAGAACGTGCAGCCAGAAGCAAATGATTGAATGAATCAAGCAAGGCAGTGTCTCATATGTAATGCGTGTATGTAGTGAATCAGTAGGACGGTGCATGAAATTAACTCAACTGGTTCAACTGCGCTTTTTTTTACTGCTCCTCAAAACTCTACACAATATCCTGGCCAAAAGCAAAAACTCTCATTGTGTAAAATTACTTCTAAAATAGAAGTAATTAGTAACACTGACAAATTTTCATTAAACAAACAACGACGCATGAAATTCACACAAATAATTAATTCCGCCCTGTGTAAATTCTTTAATCGTAAAATATGAAGCTATTTGTCATGCGCTATTGTTTGTATGCGTGGGCTGATTTGATCATTGGTTACACGATCACTATTGAGGAGGGGTTGGCTACTTTCTAAAAATATCTACACTTTCACTGTTTATACTCACACTTTTAGAATATCAACGAGAGGATCGGATAAAGACGAAATTAGATATGATAGAATAGATTTGCAGCTCAGGTGGATGATTTTGACGTGGTTATGTTCTCTGAGCTGGATGGTTAATTTGCGAAGCTCTCATCGCCCTACTGGCTGACATCTTCAGCGCATACTTCAACTCAATGGAGTCAGCTTTTAGATTTCTCCACGAGTTCACCGTTAGTCATCTCTCCTGGTGACCTTGGACATGATTGGTTGTTTATGTGTGTTTTCACACCTTCTAGGCTACTTGTATTGGAACTCATTCATTCTTTGACTTGAACTTCGACCCTTTGTGTGTGTGTGAAGTTTCTTTCTTATAGGTTGATAAATTTTGTCTATCTCAATGTGTCTATTGATTGATGATTCACTGGAATTCCAGGCAGGCTTCTAAAAATTCTCTAGCATTCTTGTTATTTCCTTTGTCTAATATTTGAACGTTGTCCCAGTCGAATTGATGTCCGTGGTTGTCTGTGTGTAGTGAGTGATATGAGGGAGTGGATATCGTGTCTTTTGACGGCTAGCTTATGTTCGTGGATACGAAGACGAAGGCGACGTCCACTTTGGCCAATGTAGTGTTTTCTGCAGTTGTTACAATTTAGTTTGTAGATGATGTTGGTTAGCAAAAGAAACCATGGAGTAAGTACTTAGCAACGACGAACAGCTTCCACAACAATCAAAAATGCAACACACAAGCTGGATGTAATGCGTAAATCTATGCCCAAAAACATACTTCCAATTCAATGGCCAAATATATGAACAAGTCAAAGGAACGCCTATGGGATCGCCAATATCAGGTTTGATTGCAGAAGCAGTGATGCAAAGACTCGAAAATATAATTCTACCAAAGATCAAACCCAAGATTTGGATACGCTACTTCGACGACACATTTGTAATAATCAAAAGAAACGAATTAGATAAAACTCACAATTTAATAAACAACGTCTTCAACGATATCGAATTCACAAAAGATGAGGAATCCGAGAACCAAATTTTTATTTTTGGGCGTCTTAGTCAGGCGAACAACCACAGGGGAATTAGAAACTTAAGTTTAGGAAAATCAACTCACACAGACCAAATCCTGAATTACAACAGCATCAACCCAATAACACACAAAAGAATTTCCATACAAACACTATTCAAGAGAGCAAGGACTCACTGCAGCACTCCCACCTTAAGGAAAATTGAAGAAAAGTATCCCATGGACGTCTTCCAAAAGAATAGATATCCACGGAATTTCATGAAAAGACATATACCAAAGCAAAAGCCCCCAAGGAAAGCATAAAGAAAATCGCCTTACCATATATAAAGGATATCTCAGAAATCACTACAAGACTCTTCAAACCTTTAGGAATCAACGTCGCACACAAACCAGCAAATTCGCTTAACTCAATTCTATGTCAACCAAAAGACTAAACAGCGAAAGAAGATAAAACCAATATAATCTACAACATAGATTGTAACAACTGCAAAAAACACTACATTGGCCAAAGTGGACGTCGCCTTCGTCTTCGTATCCACGAATATAAGCTAGCCGTCAAAAGACATGATATCCACTCCCTCATATCACTCACTACACACAGACAACCACGGACATCAATTCGACTGGGACAACGTTCAAATATTAGACAAAGGAAATAACAAGAATGCTAGAGAATTTTTAGAAGCTTGGCCAGCATTCTAGTGAATCTTGTCTTGTGAATTCTAGTCTACATAGCAACATAGGTTTTTCTCTACCACGATGGTAAATGCAAAACACATTTATCATGATGTATTCCTCATTAATAAAGAGAAGATCAGTAGTTCAGCGAAGAGTTTGTTTTTGGTGAATTCCTTTTCAATGCTGTACAATCGTAAATTTATACATGGTTACCTTGTATGCATGTGGACATCAACCTAAAACAAGTGATTCAGCGAAAAGACCCAACTTTTCAACGAATCTATTATCAAGCTGCAAAATCGTATACATGTGTGGCGTGTTAAAATTTGTCAAGTGAAAATACAATTAGTAAGATTTTGTTGCAGTTATGTTATACAAAATGCGTTCAGAGGAATTGGATGTTGATATAATAGGAAAGTAAAAGGTGAGTTGCAGTGAGTGGTCACAAACGATTATTAGAGAAGAGTTACGCAATTTCGCGAATGGTTTGATGTAAGTGTTGTATTCAGGGTGTACATAGAATCAAAATAAAATGCGAATAACGAAAGGGAATTAAGTAGGTAGAAAAAAAACAACCAAATGTTAAGTCAAAAGAACAGAGTTTTCATCATGATTTTATTCTGTATGCACAGTTCTGATTCTTCTAACTGAATGGCCAGGGCTTCAGACACACGAAGAAGACGGAATTGTATCGTTTCATGTAGGTTATTCTTCACTTTGAAAGAAGTCTGTGGAGATCGTAACAATATGATTGTATCCTTTGTTGTTTCATGTTGAAATTTAGAGACATTGCACATGACATTTGTTTAAAACAATTCATGTCTGAAGATTGACAACCTGTGATTACAATCGAGAATGCAGTGTACTTATAAGCATACCGTATACCTTAGATTTTTGCAGGAGCATCATATCTTCATCGAAGACTATTCTACACCTGGTACACAGCTCCTACCAGTACACACGATTCCAGCAGTGAACGCTTCTGTGGATTATATTAATAATTTGGAATTTAACTGTATATCCAAGTAACCGTTTAATTAATATAACTCGTTACTGTATTTTCTATAATATACATTTACACTATCATCGATCGCATTAACTTGGATTTCTATTCACACACTTCGTATACAAATTAATTAGTGAATCCGAGTGAACATTTTAGCTTTATAAACTCTAAATTCATATTGTTGTCATTTTCATCATTTTTGACTGCACATTCTATTTATCTTTTTATATCTATGTACCTGTATATTTAACAGGTACAGTTTTCATGTCTTCACTCACTCGTTCACTTGTTTCACCTGAGACTGATGAGCCACGAGATTCAACAATCAACGCAATAGTCGACCTGTGTCTCTCTCTCCGTTCGGTATCACTGACCTCGTTGTATTTGTTTCGACATCACTGAAACCCTTTTCTCTGCTCGAGGTATTAAGTCGGAGATTGCAAAGTATGGATGCGTGTTAGCGCCACTTCTTTCCCACAGTGGCTGTCGAAGACATCAGTGATGTAATAGTCGTCACTGCTTCACACCAACAACATGATCGATTCAAAGCAGTTTCGATGCAAAGAAGCAGTCAGTATTTCTGATGAGAAACGGATCCAGCAATTACTCAATGCATGTGATTTAGGGCTGGCGCACGCCATGTCCGTTAACTGCTTAATCCACACAAGGTTAACGAAGTGGTCTTACAACAGATGTGGTTGCAGGGGCTACCACGCTATATCCAACAAATTTCGATTACCTCCTTCTTCAAATCCGTCCACTAGGCGCACTAAGTGAGCTTTCAGACAAAGTTTCAGACGAAATGCCTGACACCAATGTCTACAATGTATCGATAATTCATGGGTGATCACATCAGAATGCGTCTGCTGTGGACACACCTTATTTTCAGCGATTTTGATATTGGAAAATAAGATGAAAACGCTAGAAATTGACATTTCAAGCTTACGTGCATGAGGTAGTAGATCACTGTCTACGTCAAGGTAACGTCAACGGTCTTATTCAAGACAGCGGATCACAATATCTAATACTCGAAATATTTGCTGGTATCATAAATAGTTAGGAAACCAAGCTATTCGGTGTTTAGAACCGTGCACTTTAAGGAGTAGTGATTAGGCAGGAAAAATCCTCAGCCAGACACTGATGGCGAGGGTTGTTACTGGCAATCATTCAATTCGCCTGTTACATTTGAGGGATAAAACTACAGGCCCACTATTCCTGGTAGAAATAGAAGCCAAAGTAAGTGTAATACCGCCTTCACTCTAGAGGCGGCCTTCCACAAAAGTTAGCAAAACGGTCAATTTGAACAGCCAAAAAAAACTAATATCCGAAAGGATGGAGAACTATCACTTATTTAGATACGATAGAATAGATTTGCAGCTCAGGTGGATGATTTTGACGTGGTTATGTTCTCTGAGCTGGATGGTTAATTTGCGAAGCTCTCATCGCCCTACTGGCTGACATCTTCAGCGCATACTTCAACTCAATGGAGTCAGCTTTTAGATTTCTCCACGAGTTCACCGTTAGTCATCTCTCCTGGTGACCTTGGACATGATTGGTTGTTTATGTGTGTTTTCACACCTTCTAGGCTACTTGTATTGGAACTCATTCATTCTTTGACTTGAACTTCGACCCTTTGTGTGTGTGTGAAGTTTCTTTCTTATAGGTTGATAAATTTTGTCTATCTCAATGTGTCTATTGATTGATGATTCACTGGAATTCCAGGCAGGCTTCTAAAAATTCTCTAGCATTCTTGTTATTTCCTTTGTCTAATATTTGAACGTTGTCCCAGTCGAATTGATGTCCGTGGTTGTCT